AATGTTTGTTTGTTTAAAAAGCACTATAGGAACCCGCCTTGGGGCTGAAGAGATGGCTCAGTGGTTAAGAGCGTTTACTGCCCTTGGAGGGGACCCAGGTTCAGTTCCCAGCACCAGTAAGGTGCTCACAAGCCGTCCGTAAATCCGGTTCCAGGGGATATGATGCCCTCTTCTGACCTGAGCATTGCATGACATGGGTGCACTTACACACATGCAGGCAATACACTCATGCAAATAAAATAAAAATAATAAATAAAATATTTTGAAAAACAATTCGGGGCAGGAAAGGGTTACAGTTTACAGGTTATAGTTAAAGTCCATCACTCAGAGAAGCAGGGGAAACTGAACTAGCTTGTCAGTTAGCATCCATAGTCAAGATCTGAGCGCAGTGGATATTCAAGCTGCCTGCTTGCTTCCCAGGTATGAGTATGAGTGTATTGCCTTTGTGTATGTAAGTGCACCTCTGTGCAGTGCCCATGGAGGTCAGAAGAGAGCATCAGGTCCCCTGGAACTATAGTTATGGAAGATTGTTAGCCGCCAGGTGGGTTTTGGGTACCGAAACCCAGTCCTCTGCAAGAACAGTCAGTGCTCTTACCACTGAGTCTAAACATTCTCCTTTCTTATAACTCAGAACGTCTGCTTAGAGGATGGTTCCTCCCACAATGGGCTCTTTCTGACAATCTCCCCCATACACATGCCCCCAAGCAGGCAACTCTTCAGTGGTACCTTCTTCCTGTGACTCTTGCTGTGACCAGCAGACATTTAATTCTAAGCAGCTGAGGCTGTGAATCGTGTCCTTCCTGTGATCTACTTCATTCTGCTTTCCATACTTTTGAGCTTCTGGTTATGTATTTACTATTTAAAATGTCCCGAAACACAGCACTGAAATAATGACTAGTGTTCCTAACCCAAGAAGCTTTTGTATGCTTCATGGAGAAAATAGGTATGTAAGCTAAGCACAAATTTACACTGCTGTTGGCTGTGAGTTCAACATCAGTGACTCCGTAACGTATGTCGTAAGATAATTCAAAAACAGAAACAAACATAAAACAATGATAGATACTGATCAGTTATGGAATTGTTCCAGCATAGTCTTATGGCAACCTAACCCTGAAATTGTGCTAGAAACAACTTAGCACTAATTTATAGCAAAAAGAGTATGTAAAAATAACTTAAAAATTATGACAACTGTATTTAGTGTTAAGCTAAAAACTGCTACAAGAATCATAGCGTGTAATGTAGTTCCAGTTCTGTGGCTATCATAAAATACTCAGACAAAAAGCAACATAGGGAAGAAAAAGTTTGTTCAGCTTGTCATTCCAGGTTCCAGACCATCACTGGGGGAAGATAAGGAGGAATTTTGGTCACATCATAGGTAGTTAAGAGCAGAGAGAAACAAACACAGGAACCCTTGCTTGATTGCTTGCTCTGGGCTCGCTCTGCCTGCCTAGGGAATGGTCTTCACAATGGGCAGAGTCTTCTTATATCGATCAACAATCAAGACAATCCCCCCCGCCCCAGACAGGCCAACCTGACCTAGATAACTCATTAAAATGCTCGTCATAGCTGATTCTAGGTTGTGTCCAACTGACAGTTCGAATGAGCAGAGCTTATATGCCATGACTCTATTTCAAAAATTCTGAACTTCGGGAAAAAATGCAGCTCTACAGAATAAGAGCTGTAGTCAGGTGGACAGGATCCCAAGCAACTTCCCTGCATAATCAATCAGGCCACCTGGTAGACATCAGCCTTCTGCCAAAAAGAGGAAATACTACCCCTCTTGAGGGTTCATGAGGATGGGCTGAGGTCCATACAGTGTGTGACATTTCTTTTGGAAGGCAGACTGCTCTCCCAAAGGAAAATGATGCCTCACCTCACTTACAGCACCAAAGAAGAGACTTAGAAACTTGCTTCTTAAAACTCAAGTAGAACAAAATGTCCCTGTATCACCAAGAGCTCAAGAGATTTTAGGTTCTGTGGCCCTCCACAGTCAGCTGGAAGCCAAACACTTGCTTGATACAAGAGACCACACAGGCTTCCTTGGGAAAGACAGAGGATGTTAGGATGTTTGTGGGGAACAGATCTGGTTGTGCCTTGAACTTCAGTATTTGTGGATGTCTATAAAAACCCAGTTGGTTCAAGTGCTTGTTCATGAGATCGACAATGTCTTTAATAAAGGTCTGAGGCTTCCGGGTCGGGTCTCAGCCATTATTGTCCTATCAATCCTCCTGATATGCAGATCCTTTTCCCTAATCTCATCTTTTAATTCAGTTTCGGCTAATGGTTTGGGAAGAGCAGGAGAGTTTATCTTGTCATATTACACTCTGGAACAAGTTCTGGACATCATTAATGTTGGGCTCTTATCCCCATCATAGTTGGGTAGAAAGCGTGACCTTTACCTTCATCAAACCTGTTACAAGTTAAAAAGTCAACTTAATGTGAACCAGACTTAAGAAAAATGTTCTATGGGCACTGGTTTAGGTACAAGTGATCAGGGGCATAGGAAAAATAATCTGTTGAGATTTGTGACTCTGCGGGAGATAAAGGCATTCACGTGCACACATTTACCCACTCAGGGGATTTTACTCTCTGATGACTGTGTCATGTACTTTAGGCACACTATGCTGTTTAACTGTCATAACCCTAGGCTAGTACTCATGAAAACTAAGAGATACTAATTTGCATAAAACCACATGTCTGGTAAGTGATGAGGAGCCACGGATATGGCCAAAACAGAAGTCCATGAAGGGGTCTGAAGAGGAGTTAGGGTCTGCGCAATAAGGATATGCACGTGGTAACAGATTCTCAGGCACTTATAGACAGTCTGTAGACAGTCTTATTAATAGCGCCTTGGAAATATTTTAAAAAAAATCCTATACATCTCATTAAAAGTCAGCCTGTGGCAGAAGTGACTGTTCTACACACAGCACACACATTTACCTGGACACATGCATGAACACGCACTCTTACCCATATGCCCCCCCCCACACACACACACAAACACACACACATACATGGAGTTTTATTTTATTTATTATTTACTATTTTTTGAAATGGGATCACTCTGTAGTCCCAGGTGACCTGAATCTTACTATGTAGACCAGTCTGGTCTGGATCTGACAGAGATCCACCTGCCTCTGCCTCTCAAATACTTGGATCAAAGGCATGTGCCACCTTGCCCAGCACACACACATACACACACACACACACACACACACACAGTTTTAAATAAGAGCAACAGAAATAGATTTTGACTGATATAGAGCCCTTTCATTTTCATACATGCCGTAGACTTTATATAAAACCATCTAGAAGGTTCTGATAGGGCATAGTGGGATATAAAGGTCACACACAACTGGCCTCAGGATGATGATACTGAGACTGACTAATGGATATAATCTGCATTACGTAAATACTTGCATCAAGCAGGTCTTCTTAAAATGTGAAGGTAATTTTAATGTATGAGTTACCCATGTGAGGACATAGCAGCCTCAAGGACAAACTGACAGGAATCACATTGCACTGAGTGCTTGTCAGATTGCTAACAACTGGCCAGCAATGGGGTGTTCTGATGCTTCCCCTTCTTAATCCCACAGCACACGTTCAGTTCTGAATTTCTCAAGAGTACTGCCCTGTTCAGGGGACAGTTTCCTTGCCTCTGACTCTACTACTCTTATCCTTGGCCTCATGGGCCCCAGTACTGTAACCACAGAGCCTTTGCAGAGGTGAATCAACATTGCCAGCAGGGATGATCTGTCTTGACTGAGCAGAATCAGGGAGGAGGGAAGCTGTTTGTCTTCAGTACTCTATGTGGAAAGGATAGTCCTTGTGATGTTCACTTCTGAAAGGCAGAATCACAAATTACAAACAGAAACAAAGAATGAGCATTTTTACTTCTTTTAAAAATTAACTTTTATTTTTAAACTATGTACATATGTGTGTGAGCATCTGTCTGCATGTGAGTGCATGTGCTCTCAGAGACCAGACTCGGAGTTACAGA